AGCGGCAGTGACGCGCGGCATCACGAAATTTACACAAAACGGGCTGCTGTTCGCGTGCTCGCGGGGCCGCGAAGAGAGCTGTCCGCCATATTGCGGCCGCTGGCTCGTGTAGAGTTGTCCTTACTCTCCACGATCCCGGTTCTTGAAGTCTCGTACGTTCACGAAAAATCTAAAAAAAAAAGCAACAAAAACAGTCTTTTCCCGCCGTTTCAAACCGCGCGCCACTAACGCAGGGCCGCCATTGGCTGACAGCACCCGTGTTTTCTTGCCGTAGTTCGCTTCACTGTTTTCCGGAGTTATTTTTCGCTGTTTTCGTGCGATGGCAAGCCCGAAAAAGGCCGTTGCCGACCATCGGAAATACAGAAGTAAGAACAAGTTCAGAGGGAAGCGGCGGAGGACGTACAAGAAAGCCACCGCCAACGAAAATGTCCGCGACGGGCCAGCGGCCGGTAGGCCTAACATCGACCACGGCAACGTCGACCATGGCAACTGCGACGACGAGATCAACGCTGCAGTGAATTTTGTGAGTGCATCGCAGAAAAAGATCGCGTTATTCGAAAACGACGTCAGGCCGAATGCCGATCGTGCCGAAAGCGTAGTGCTGTGCGAGTTGGGTGCATTGACGGCCGTCGTCGCAGGCGCGGCATGCCCCGTTTGTCACGAGAGTAAACTCGCAGTTCGGGCACCGAATAAAAAGCGGAAAGGCCTTTCGGCGTTTCTGGAGCTACACTGCGAGAATGCGGAGTGCTCGGAGAGCATCCTTTCGTCCGCGTACTCGTCGAAGCGGGTCGCGTCAGATGGCGGCCGCGGTGCAAGCAGAAGCTACGACAGCGGGAGTTCGCGTGACGCCTTTGCCGTGAACCTGAAAGTGGTGCTTGCAGCGCGTGCCGTCGGTATCGGGCATGAGCAACTTTCACGATTTTGTGCAGTAGTTGGATTGCCAAACCCTATGCACCATAAGACCTTCCATGCTATCGGCAAAAAGATTCACAGTGCGGCAGTGAAGGCTGTCTGTGAAAACATGCAAAGGGCACGCAGCGTCACCAAAGAGGTGGCTGGTAACAGTGACGTGCCAGTCATGTTTGACGGCACATGGCAAAAAAGAGGCCACAAAAGCCACAATGGTGTGGGAACTGTAGTGTCCTTGGACACTGGTTTGTGCCTGGACTATGAAGTGCTTTCCAACTTCTGCCTGGCGTGCAGTTTGCATAACGACATGGGAGGCGATGAAGAAACATGGCAGGCGTTTCATCATCCCGTTTGTGAGAAGAATTGCGACTGTTCTTCGCATGCCATGGAGGCCGAAGCTGCAGTGCGCATTTGGCAGAGGACTGTGGACTATGAGACACCCCTGCGGTTCACCATCTTCCTAAGCGATGGAGACAGCAAGGCCTACAACGGGGTCTGTGATGCCAACGTGTACCCTGACACTCCAATTGAAAAAGAGGAGTGCACCAACCACGTGGCGAAACGTCTGGGCACCGGCCTGCGGAAGCTGCCAACGCCACTTCCACGAGGGGAGAAGCTGAAGGAGACCACCATCCAGAAGCTTCAAACTTACTTTCAGGTGGCCATTGTGAACAATCGGGGAAATGTCCACAAGATGTACACTGCCATATGGGCCTCATGTTTGCACTCGTGCTCAACAGACGGTGCTGGAAGTCACAAGTTCTGTCCTGCAGGCCCAGACTCGTGGTGCAAGCACCGACGTGCTGAGGCGCAGGGCCAGCCTGCACCGTGCCACACCCCCCTCCTGACCAAGGCCCAGGGTTTGGCAGTCCTCCCAATCTACAAGCGTCTCACAGATGCGAAGCTGCTTGCCCGGTGCCTCCACGGCAAGACACAGAACGCGGCCGAGTCCCTGAACAGCAAAATATGGCTGCTGTGTCCAAAGACCTGGTTTGCTTCCCGGACTGCTGTGGAAACAGCCACAGCCATTGCAGTCCTGTGGTTCAACCGGGGCCACGCGAGCTTTGAAAAGGTGCTGGAAGAGCTTGGGGTGCTTCCTTCGGAGGCCCTGGTTACCCTCAGCGACCGCCGAGACAGCATGCGCATGCACAAGATGAATGTGCGTCAAACCGCTGAGGCGAGGGCACACCGTCGCAGTGCAGCCAAGAGGGCCCGGGTGGAGGAGTCCTGCCGCACCAGCCGGGAAGGGAAAACCTACGGTGCTGGAGAGTTTTAGACAACTGATATTCCCTCTGGACATGTGTGTATGTGTTCAGCACAAGTTTCGTGCTACTGCGTTTTTCATTTTTGTAAATACAGACTTTCAAACTTTCAAACGCGTTTTTCTCATTTCGCAATTTTGGCCAATTTGCATTTTTTGCGGGAAGTGTTTCGGGCACTTAGAATGGTCATACGACGACGAAATTTGGCACACACATTGAGGAGAGTGCGTAGGGTGCCGATATCTACTTGAATCAGCCCAACCTATCAGCTGTAAATATCTATTAATAAATTTAATGGTGGTCGAGTGGAAAAAAAAGGGTAGTTTGCTACACAGATGTTTTTTTCATAGTTTCAAAGTTGGAGCACAATTTCTAGCTAGATATCGGCACTCTATGGCTAATAGGGAGCAAAAGGAGCCATTGAACAACTCTCTGCATGAACATTTAGTATGCGCGAAAGTTCCCGGAAAACTTATCAAGTTTCACCATTACTTGAAACACAACTCCCAAACTATTGCACTTATGTAAAAACTGATTACAGATTTGGAATCAGGAGGAAAAACTGCATCAGTGGTCCAATTTCTGAAGCTCTAAGTTGAATAACAAAAAAAAAGTGCTTTCGAGGAGCGTCTCCCCTTAAGGTTCCCACCAACAGCGGTAAGTGGTAGATATGAATAGCTTGGCATTTGAATGCGCAACGAGGTACCTTTTGGTGGCTCTTCGTATAGACCTATATCGCTAATTGTGATTACAAAATTGTAATAAAGTACTAGAATGGGGACTTCAAGGGGTAATCAAAGAATTAGTAGGGCCTCACCAAACATGCGGGATTATGGGACGCTTCATTGTGACCAATATACACAAGATGCGCTGCGCGCTCGAGTGTAGCGATGCCAATCAAGGAGAGGTAGCCATTCTACAGTTGATCTCGAGAAAGGTTTTGATTGTGTTTCCCACAACCTTCTGCTTGCCATTCTTGACCATGTCAACGTTGGTTCTGTAATCAGAGATGAGGTATCATAGCATACCAGAACTGCACGACCCGTCTGGTAATCAACAAGCTGCTAGGAGATACAATTAACATAAAGCGTTCTGTCCATCAGGGCTGCCCACTGAGTCCCCTACTTTTCAGTTTATATATAGAATCGTTGTGCTTAGCAATGACTCAAAACAATTCCATTAGTGGCTTTAGATTACAAGAATCCGAAGTTAAAACTTTGGCGTATGCCGACGATGTGGCTGTTTGTTCTATCAATCAAGATAATGTAACCTCTACCATCAGTCTAGTTAAAACGTTCGGCAATGAAACTGGCAGTCTAGTAAACTGGGGAAAGTGTCTGGGTTTCTGGCATGGAGAGTGGTCGTCAAGACCAGACTATTTTGCCAATGTTAAATGGGTGACCACACCTGTCAAGTACCTGGGGGTGCCACTGAAATATTATATAGGTAATCAGAACTACTGGCAAGAACAAGCGAAAGAAACCCGGAAGAAAACAAATAGATGAAATGGTAATCATCTGTTAGTGTTTGCAAGGGCGACTGTCTGTAATCATTTCTTTGCTTCAAAACTTTGGTATGTGACGCAATTATTGCATTGTTCAAGGGCAAACAACAGAAGCTCCATCGCATATTCGCAGTGTTCGTGTGGGCCTCGAACTGGGAGAGATGCAGTCGAACTAATCTGTTTCGAAAAGTGAAACACGGAGGGCTGGGTGTACCACATCTTTTCATACGCCAAGCCGTAAATAGGTTCTTTTTTTTCGCCACACAAGGCATCCTTTTTTATTTACAGTGTGCCAAATGAGACTGATGCGGGCTTTACCTGGATATGTGGTTAGCACGAATGACATGGCCGGTGCAGTCCGCGGGTATCTTAAGGAGGTTATTCTAAGTGTACGGTTTTTATCTGTTAGATTTTTCAATGAATATTTGTTTTCAGGGATTCACAAAAGGTCATACAAAGATGCGTTTCTGTTGTTTTAACTGATCCTTTGTATACTATGCCATGTACACTGGAGGTCAAGGGCAAGATGTGCTTAAACGAGTGAAGAGAATGCAAGTCGCTCCTGCCTCGAAGTCCTTCTTTTCTAAGCTGCACAGAGGTATATTATCTGTCATGACATTTGAAGCAGCCCATGGTTTTACTCACCTTGGGGGAAAAATTGCCTTATCTGTGAAAAACCGGAAACTATAGACCATGTTTTCTTACATTGTTATGACGGAGTATATTTTCGGGATGTACTTCAAAGGACGTTAAAGATGGCATTACCTTGAAATTCATATGGTATAAGATTTCTGCCAATAGTGGACGAAGATGGAATACCTTTTGATTTGATTATGCTTTGTAGACATCACTGTATATGGCGGGCCCGTATGGCGGGTTTTTATTGCTATCAGGATGCGCGGCCTGCACAATTGTATTTCCGTGAATGTATGGCCAAGTTTGTTAAACTGCAGAAAACACAGGAGATTGTACCTGAGTGGTTCTCGAGGGTAGAGCCCTTGGCAGCACTTGGGGAATTTTAGTATGTGTCGGTCTGTTACTGCTTGTTTTGTTGAGCTTGTGGTCTTATGCACGCGCCTATATACAGGCAATAATGCAAAAGAAGAAACCTTTCCATGGCTCAGTGGTTAACGCCTCTCATTCACGACGTGGAGGTCCCACGTTCGATTCCGCGCGCGGGAGTCTTTTCTTCTGTTTTTTTTCTTTCTTGCGTTTTAATTTATATCTAGTTACGTATACACATGCGGTCCATGACATCCACGCTGACGCCAGCGGCGAAATCCAGCCGAGCGTGCCCATATAAATGCTATCTCAATAAAACTCACCGTTAAATGTGCTCCTAGCGGGGGACCACTTCGCCCGCGGGCCTCTCCTTGCAGGAACGGGATACAGCAACCGGCTGCCTTGAGCTTTCGTGCCGTTGATTGCACTACCTGCCAGCGTGGGCGTGCAGATACCCCAACGCGGCTCGCATCGGTATCCTGCAGCGCAGCAGGAGCCGTCCGGGCAGCACACCTGGCCGTACTCGTACGGACAGCAGGAGTACGTCCCCACAGGGTACTCGGGCGTGTGGCAGCAACTGTTACCAGCGGGGCACGTGCTGTGGTCCTGGCACTGAACCGTCTCCTCTGGGCGCCCCCCGCGAATATGAAATTTATATACGCACTTCAACTGATATTTTCACTCAAAGTATTTATAGTCTTCTTAAAGATATAGCCTCATCACAACTCAAAATCACATAGTGGTTCTGGGTTTTCAAACTACACATTGTTGTTGATGTTGTATCACCGCAGGATACACTGTCTGGTAGAGAAAAAGGGCGTGCTAGCGCCAGAGCGCTGAAGAGAACGTCAGACGAGGTTTCGAACAGCGAATGTGTTCCTTTATATTCACAGAGAGCGTGCACATGCATCAGTATAACTAACTATAGATACGATTAGTAATAATTTCCCAGGTTTGATGTCCCAAAACCACGATATGACTATGACAGATGCCGCAGCCGACGGTTGCGGAAATTCTGGTGTTCTCTGGCCTTCTGGTGTTCTCTGGCCTTCTGGTGTTTTCGAACGTGCACCTGAAACCAAATCGCACAGGTCTCAAGAGACTTCGATGCCATCGACATGCGGCCACCCCGCGTAGACGGAATTAGATCCTGCGATCTTGATATCAGCTGCAAAGTACCGTAATACAAGTGACCATGAAAGGTATGCGCTGAGTATAGTTCAGCTCTTATTAACCACCGAAATGGTGACATGCGATTACTTTCTCTGTTGTTGTAACCTATAAAGCTCTTAGCGTAGGAATATCTGCTGGATGTGTTTGCGCTGTCCAAGCCACTGTGCGTCTGCAAATGGCTTTTCGTTAAGTTAACGTTAAGTTTTTCGCTAAGTTAACTCCGTTTGCTATAGGAGAGGACATTGTATAATACGCAATTAGATAGGTAATACAGCGATACTATTGTGTAGATGTGCTTCTGTATACCAGCCCCATAATAATAATAATAATAATAATAATAATAATAATAATAATAATAATAATAATAATAATAATAATAATAATAATAATAATAATAATAATCAGGAGTCATAGTTTCGCTGCTAGTGCGAAGAAGTGAGTGCAACAGCAACCAATTGGAATGTCACGCGAAGAACGGCAATTAACCAGATCGAAACGTTCAGCATACTGCTCCATCACAGAGGAGTTACGAAAAAAACACACGCAAGACGAGAGCAAGCTAAGAAAGTTCTCAGCTCAACATTCTTCGTGCTGCTCGAAGTGCTGCTCAAGATTTTAAGATCACGTTAAAATCATCTGGAATCATAGCAAGATCACGAAGCATATCTACAGATTCCGGTGCCCCTACTCCCCGATAATTGAATGTGATCGTGGAAACTGTCGGTCGCGGAGTGATGGCGTTTAACAGTTCCGGAACCTTGTATTTGTCCACCCTTAACCCTGTGTGGCTACGGATAGTGATACTCTTGTTCCAACCACTCGGGCATCAAGAATGAGGGACTGCTGGTCTCTAGTGATGACCAGGTCAGGAATTCTTGTTCCAACCGACGTCTTGAGGTGTGCTTCTCTCTTTATGGACCATCCTCATTCCTCAAGCTTTTTGGCCACGTACTTCACGATGTTATCATGGCGAGTAATGCGGGTGTGGTGCATTAGATGACTTTCCGCAGAATATGCCTCAAAGATTCCTCAGAATCTAAGCCAGCACGACAACGCTTGTCGACTTCACGGCCTCTTTTTAACAGGGTAAGGTTAGGCAGTGCGGCTATGCGGAAGTGAACCGAATCTATACACTCTCTCCCTTTTAGGAAGTTGGTTCCCTCATGCAGCCCCCAGATTGATCCTTCGACAACGTGGCATCCTTCGAGGGGCCTACCATTGCATGACCTGTGTAATTCATTTGCTCAAAATGCTGAGGACTGCCCAGCTGTGGCAATTCGAGCAAGTTCGAATTGGCAGAGGTTCTCGGACTGTTGGCGGGAACTAGACACAAGACGCGTGTTTCCAGCCACTACAACAGCAGAACATGATGATTGTGGCGGTATTTCAAGGTGGTGCAGGTGTTGGCCAGGCACGCGTGCTCGCAGGCATTGAATGCCGAACCAGCCGTCACCTACTGGAGCATAAAAGAAGCCCATCGGCACATCGTGCGGTAGTGCCAGCCACCCACGCACCTCGGATCGAATAATCCGATCATACTGACATAACGTCCTCGCCGACACCGGGCCGAGCACAAGTCTACGTGTCAAACGTGGCATCAAGTAGATTCGTAAGATCAGGAGGCGTTGCTGGGGCTTAAGAGGTGCTGCTCAAAGTGCGGACCGAGGCAGGACCAGCTGACGTATGATGACGTCGTACGCAATCTGCAGGGTCACAGTTGTTACTTCACTGCATTTGAATGACACGCTTTTTTTCGCAAGCCGAGAGACTGCAGCGATCGAAGTGACCTTCTTGCGCCCTGTAACCAGAACGCATTCGTTACGAGGAAGGCCAAAGACATACAATTCTTCGCCACAACGATATAAGCATGCCCGCGATGCACGCGGAAACCATGACCCATTGGACGAATTACACGCGCGGGCCACCGAGTTAACGCCGAGTGCGCCCTTCACACCATCTTGCTGTAACAACTCAAAACATGCTGATATTTCTCCAGAGATTGGCATACCGGCAGTGGTAAATAGGTTTAGAAATAGCTCACCGTCAGTACCGTTGGTGGCGTGCGCTCTGATAGCTCTTTCGCTCACGCCGCGTGCTGTGGAGCGAGAGGTCACACGTTGTGTTCGCACGTGAGAAATTATTTTGAAGAATTGTTTTCCTTCCAGGCTTAAACACACACACACACACACACACACACACACACACACACACACACACACACACACACACACACACACACACACACACACACACACACACACACACACACACACACACACACACACACACACACACACACACACACACACACACACACACACACACACACACACACACACACACAAACACACACACACACACACACACACGCACACACACACGCACACACACACACGCACACACGCGCGCGCGCGCGCGTGTGTGTGTGCATGTGTGTGTGTATGTGTAGTATTGCCACCTTGTTTTCTGTGCCAGTGAACGAAGAACACGAAAACAAGCAACCTGTGCCAGCTGGAGGCGTCTTTATTTGTGTCTGAAATTTTGACAGGTGCATCTCCTTGTAAGTTTCTTCGAGCTCCTAGCGTGTGACAACTGGTGGAGGTGCGGAGCAATCTATGCACCGAGCCCCTCCCAGTATAAGAAGCTCCAGCCCCATACCAGTGGTTACGCCTGCTCACCATGCTAGCCGAAGGATCCGTGGACTGGACTCTAACTTCGTGCTTCTCCCAGAGAGGATGACGGCTCCAACTATCCCAGGCAGCGCCGTCCCAAGCGGCTCCAACCCAGCCGGTATGGAAGGCGCAACGCTATTCCCTATACGCTGTTCAAACCACGAACGCCGAATCCCTTTAAGGCTGCTGCCCATGAGGATGTTGAGGATTGGCTAGTTTACTATGACGTCGTTGCCGCTCATAACATGTGGGATGATACAGACAAGCTCAGACAAGTCTTCTTCAGTTTGAATGACGGGGCACGTGTTTGGTACGAAAACCGGGCAGGTGTGTTTACGTCATAGGACGGCTTCAAATGCCGGCTTCACGAAACGTATGCAGGTACCGATCGCCAAAAGCGAGGTGAGCGTGAACTCCAGTGCCGTATGCAAATGCCAAATGAAAGCGCAGCAATGTATGTTGAGGACATGACGCGTCTTGTTCGACGAGCCGGCCCTTAAATGCCGGAAGAGAACAAAGTGCCATAGCTGATGCGTGGAGTGAAGGAGCAGTTGTTCGGTGGTCTTGTACGCAGCCCACCCAAGACTACGTCAGAGTTTTTTTGCTTAAGCCGTCCTCATTGAAAGCACGCTTCGGCAACGGACCAAGACGTATGAGCAACAAGTCAACTTTGCCTCCGCTACGGACTACATGGGCGGTCTTGGGGGTCACGTCGACTTTTTTCAAGAGCTCATACGCTCTGTAATTCGCTAATAACTGCAGAACATATCAGTACCCTCAGCGCCCACTGTCACTTCTTTGTCCGGCATCGTCCGAAACGAAGTTCAGCAGGCAATACGAGAACCGTCCAGTCAGACATAGCCGCGGCCCCTAAATCACTTCCCTGGCATGTCGCATGCGCAAACTCTGCTCCAGCGACCACCACCTTTGGCTCCGCTTCCAATCGCGGACCCTGCCATGCTTCCGGCAGACCAAACCCTGTGCCAACCTGCACCACATTTCACTCCACTTCACACCACGGCCCCAGCCATGCTTCAGGCAGTCCGTCGGCCCGTACCTCAGCGACCGCCGACCAATTCCGCAAAAATCAGATGTGTGGCTGGCCCCCAATCGGCGTCCCCTTTGCTATCACTGTAGTGAACCTGGTCACATCTACTGACAGTGCACTTATTGAGAGCTGGGACTTCGAGGTTTTTCGACCAACTCAATCCATCTCCTAGGTTCGGCCAGCGGCCTCCGGCAATTGCGAACTACGTTTCCCAGCAGTGCGGATCGACATCTCGGCACCACTCACGTTCTCCATCACCGCGGCAGTTCTCGCCTAATGGTCGCACCTATACGGACGTGGTGCTGGGCTGGTCACCTAGCCAGCGTCGGCAAAACTAGCCACAGTGACCTTCGGGGGCAAGGCCGCTCAGACTGGTCATGCTCAAGGTTCTCTATTGACGCGGACTGACGATACCGACGATACATTGAAGACGACATCATCAGCTGATTGTGAGAGAGTTTCCATAAACATTCCTGTCCTGCTAGATTATCGCGAAGTCAGCGCTTTAGTGGACACTGGTGCTGACTATTTCATAATTTGCGAAAAACTGGCCGCCATTTTGAATAAAGTAATGACGCGTTGGAACCGAACGCCAACTCGTACAGCTGGCGGGCACATCGTCACGCCACTCGGTATGTGCACGGAAAGATTGCAAGTCTGCGGTTGTACGTTTCTTGCTAGTTTAAGCGTTCTCAGGCAGTGTTCTCGAGACCTGATTATTTGCATAGTTTTT